ATCGCTAGCTCGGGAACCAAGAAAGCTGGGAGGCTGAAACTTTCAGGAAATATTCCCAACTCATCTGCAACTGAAATTTATCAAATTCAGCCCCCCGTTGTGCGTGGTTGCCACGTACGGCCCCGTGAAAGGTTTTGGCGAGAAAATGGCTGACTCCGGAACCAGGAAATCTGGGGGCTGAGAATTTCAGGAAATGTTCCCAACTCATCTACAACTTGAATTTATCAAATTCAGTCCCCTGTTATGCGTGATTGCCACGTACGGCCCTGTGAAAATTTTTGGCAGGAAAATGGCTAACTCCGGAGCCGGGAAAGCTGGAAGACTGAAACTTTCTGGAAATGTTCCCAACTTTTCTACAACTTAAATTTATCAAATTCAGCCCTCCGCTGTGCGTGGTTGCCAAATACGGCCTCGTGAAAGTTTTTGGCAGGGATTTGGGTAACCCGGGAACTGAGAAAGCTGGGAACCTGGGATTTCAAGGGAATGTTCCCTGTCCAAATATAGCGTGAATAAATAATTTCCCGAAATTCGAGGACCAGTATGTATAAGAGGTTTCTAGCTAACGGGATTTCGAGTGATCTTATCACAACATGAAACACTGCAAAAACGCATGATCGCACGGGCCCACCCAGTGCGCGTCGCCAATGATCTTAATATTTCGTGACTAAAATCTCCGCTAACTAGGAGAGTGAAGCATTCCGACCCTTACTGCGAGTACTGGCAATTTTTGAAGGCATGAAACGGGCGACCATGTTTCTCTCCGTACCACACTCTTCGGCGATTGACTCAACCGCTGATTAGAAGACAGAATGGTTTGTTGTAAATTGTCAAGGTCATTTGTAGGTAAAATACATAGATGAGAACGAATTCAATGTTGGCTACGCGCTGGGTGACACAATACATCGGGGACAGTTTGCTGACGTGAAGCAGATTACCCGAAATGCCACCCGGAAACGATATGTAGCGAAGTGCTTTTCGATGCAGCTTTTAAGAAAGCAGCAACGGTGGGATGATGTAGAGCGCGAAATCCGCATCCTTCGTACTCTGCAGCACCGCAATATTGTTGCTTACCATGCAGCTGTTAAAACGGCTGATCAGAGAATACTAATTATGCAGAGGTCAGCATTACGTGTTGTTACGATAAGATTAGTATTATTTACTGACCAAGACTAACTGGTCCACTGAACTATGCTACAGCAATGTGGCCAGACTTCGCAACCGTATGAGGTTCCAAACTGTCTGTCTTTATTTATACAGGAAGTTTTCTGTTGTATTTGTATTCGATTTTTTCACAGGCCTTGAAGATCCGCGAAAAACACTCGTTATCTAGCGGAAATTAAAAACTTTTTCATTGTTCAACTTTATTATTCTTTTTTTGAAATGAAGTTCAAGAATTGGTGCTGCGAAAAACACTTCGTCTCAAAGGGCCAGTTTTTGTTAAAATGTGCTTTATAACCCGCTTGCTACTAATTTCAAATTGTGTGAGTGTTCTGATTTCAAATTGTTTTAGTGTTCTATCAAAAAAACCTTACGCTGGGGAATTAGCTATTTTCTTTTAATGAGTGTTCCAGTAATTCTGCAGCTAAACATATATGCATAAATTGTCAAATTTGAGTTATGTGAATGCATCTTC